TCTCTCTCTCTCTCTCTCTCTCTCTCTCTCTCTCTCTCTCTCTCTCTCTCTCCTCTCTCTCTCTTTAAAAATAAAATAAAATAAATTTCTTCAAATAAATAAATAAATAAATGAAATATCTACAACAGGCAGTTCTATAGAGGCAGTTCTATACAAAATAGCTTTAGTAACTAGGGGCTGAGAGGAGGAGAGAATAATTCCAAGTAGGTGGATTTCTTTTGGGGGTGATGAAAATATTTTGAAATTAATGGTGATAGTATATAATTTTGTTACCATTCTAAAAATTACTGAATTATGTACTTTTTTAAAAAGTATATTTTTTTAGTTGTTGATGGCCCTTTATTTTATTTATATATATGTGGTGCTGGGAATTGAACCCAGGGCTTCACACATGCTAGGCAAGTGCTATTCCACTGAGCCCCAACCCCAGCCCCAAATTATATACTTTTAAAGGGTAAATTTTACAATATTTAAATATTAAGTCATTAAAAATTTTTACCTGGAAAGAAGTAAAAGAGCAATAACTACTAAGTTACTTTAAATAAATACCCCTTTATTTCACAGTGAATTCCTGTTAGTGAAGTTTCTGTTAGACAATGAACCCCTGAGACTGGAACATTGTCTAACACCTGGAACAAAACCCAGCATATAGAAGGTGCTTTATTCATATTTTTTTTCCTAGCATGACAAATTTCAAATATACAGAAAAACTGAGTTATTGTTTAGTGGACACTTACGTACTCACTATCTACCTTCCACCATTTGTTTTTATTACATTTGCTACCACAGAGGTCTTAATATCCCTCTTTTTAAATACAACCAATAGTTTTACTGCCTTTCAACATAAGTTACAGCTAGTGCACTTAACCCCAAGACTTTATTGACTATTGTCAACCAGAGTTTGTTTATTAATGGGTCTTTGTATTATTTGGAAGGTTAAACTTATAATGTGAATGTGTAAATCTTAAGTATACTATTCACCGATTTTTAAAAAAATTTATAGTTGTAGATGGACAGCATGCCTTCATTTTATTTGTGTATATTTTTACGTGGTGCTAAGGATCGAACCAGGTGCCTCCCATGTGCAAGGCAAGCACTCTGCCACTGAGCTACAGCCCCAGTCCTATTCATTGAGTTTTGAGAAATACATATATCTGTGTTTTGCAAAACACTCACTAAGATATAGATCCTTAACATTTCAAAGAGTTCCTTATGTTCCTTTCCAATCATCGCCCCTATACCTGACTGCCTCTACTCAGGAAACTACTGTTTTAATTTTTTTTAACATTATAAATTAGTTGATTGATTCTAGGATTTCATATAAATGGAATCATACAGTATATTCTTTTTTGTGAAAGACTTTTGTTATATTCTTAGCCCATTTGCACCAGGGCTTTGTATGGCTGGAATTAAATTATACATGCTTCAATATGAACATACTCTGAAAGCATAAGTGAAAATAGCCAGTCACTATTAATGGTAGGTAGCAGAAAGACCAAAGAAAGTTCCTCAAGACAATGTGTGAAACATACGATTTATTAGGGAAAGCGTACAAGAGATTAGTGACTGCTTCAAGAAGAGTTCAGGGGTGGTAGGCTGAACAGATAGCACCTCCACCTCTCAAGATGCTTCACCAAGCAGTACCTTTGTTCCCTGGTGGCTGGTTGTATGAGTGACAAGTTTCCTTTCCTCAGTGCCCTGAGTTATGCACTCATTTTGTCTCAGAGAGGGGTTTCATAGGGCTGCAGAGGCAGTGACATCATCAGGATTAGTGTGCTTACATAACCAACACCATAAGAAGGAATTATTCTTATATGCAACAAAATAGCTTTCTTTAGTTAACAATAACTTGCCCTAATTCCTAGGGTGCACAAGAGAAAGCTGGATTTTCCTTTTCAGGCTTGTTTTCACTGTTCCCTTTATTTGGCTTTTTTTTTTTTAATTTATTTTTTATTTTTAAAAATTTTTTTAACACAGAGGGGGCAGTCGGGCATTTAGGGAGTTGTTATTTTCTTGTTCTCCTTTTTATTTAGGGATGATACAGCTTTTTTTTTTTTTTTGTAAGCATAATGTTTTTGGAATTTTTCTGGGTGTTGCATGTATTGGTCATTTCCCCCCTTCTTATTACAAGAAACATTGTCTGAATAAACCATCTAACTATACCACAGTTTCTTTTCCCCACCCCATTTTCCTGTTGATTAACAGAGGTTTTATAGTTTTGAATTGTTTCTAGGTTTTGGCTACTGTAAATTAGGTTTCCAGGAACTTTCTTGCAAAAGTTTCATGTAGAGTTGTGCTGTTCTTTCTTTTTGGTAAATACCTAAGAGTTAGAATTATATGTTTTAGGTTTTTAAAAAACTACCTGGATTAGACACATTTCTATCACTACTAATAATACCTAGATAATCAACTTATAAAGGGAAAAGGTATATTTTGGCTCATACTTTTGAAGCTTTTATTCCTTGATGGACTGATCCCATTTGCTTTGGGCTTGTCATAAAGCAGCACATCCTGATGGGAGCAAGTGTTGAAGCAAAATGGCTCACTTGGTGGACAAGAAGCAAAAGAGAAAGGAAGGGATGCGGTCCCACTATCCCCTTGCAAGGCATACATTCAGTTACCCAAAATCTTTCTACCAGACCCTACCTACTAAAGATTCCTCCACTTCCCAATAGTGCCTCTCAGGATAGCTATCCTTTAACAACATGTGGATCTCTGAGGGACACTTACCTAAACCACAGCACTACCTCACCTTTTTTCCAAAGTAGTTGTACCATTTTACATTCCTGTCAACAATGAGTGTTTCTAGTTGCTTTCTATCTTTATAACATATGGTGTGGTCATCATATTTTTCCTTTTTGCCATTCTGATCTGTGTGTTGTGGTATCTCATGGTTTTAATTGCTATATTTTTCATAAGTAAATAATTTGAATTTTTTCATGTTCGTGTTGACCTTTAATAAATCTACCTTTGTGAAATGTATGTTAAATAAATTTAAGAACTTTTAAAAACTATTTTTGGGCTTCTTTAGTGGTTTGTAAGAGTTCTTTGTTTATTTTGAATTCAAATTATTTTCTTTGACAGTTTGTGATTTGCGTAATAATATTTTTTTCCCTCATACTAGGGATCAAACCCAAGGCCTTTCACACACTAGACAAGTACTTCAGTGCTGAGGCATGTCCCCAGCTCATTGCCCCTTCATTTATTAGTAGGTATCTCTTGAATAGAAGTTTTAAATTTTGATAAAATGTAATTTTCAAATTTCTTTTATAATTTGCTTTTTGTGACCTAAGAAAATGACTAGGTTTTTCTTGTTTATTAAGAGAGAAAGAAAGCAACTCCACTGTTTGATTTCAGTGACATTTGAATTAGTTTTCTTGTATTTTTTAAAGCATGGACCCTTAACCTTTTTTCGGGGTGTGTGTGCCAGGGATTCCTTTGACATTTTGGTAAAACCTGTGAACCTTTTGTCAGAAAGTTTTAAGCATCTTCATTATGATGTTCCTTAGGATTATATCTTTATGTTACTTGTAGTTGCAGGTTTTATATCTGCGGGTTTACAGTTTATATATATATGTGTAAAAATTTTGGTCATTATGTCTTCAAAAAGTTTTTATTTCCTGGTCTATTTTTTTAGGGACTCCATTTCTATGTATGTTATTCTGCTTAATGTTTGAGAGTTGCTATTTATGTTCTTTTATCCATTTTATTTTTCTGTTTCATTTTGGATAGTTTCTATTTCAATTAAAATTTACTAATCTTTGTTGTCTAATCTGTTGGTCACATCTAGTATATATTTTATGTATATGAAATTTTTATAAATGTATAAACATACATATATTTTATTTTTATCTTTAGAACTTCAATTTGGGTTTCATTTTATACTTCATGTCTCTCCCCTTAACATGTTTACACTTTCTTGAACATATGCATTTATTTGTATAGTTGTTTTAATATTTCTGTTTGCTTATGCTATGATCTTTGTGAATTCTAGATACATTTCTGTTGATTGACATTCCCCTCATTATGGAATATATTTTCCTTCTTTTTCGCTTCTCTAGCATTTTTCTTTTTTTGGGGTACTAGAGATTGCATTCAGGAGCTCTCTATTTCTGAGTGCTTTGGGTGTATCCCTAGCCCTTTAAAATTTGAATTTTTTTTTGAGACAGGGTTTACTAAGTTTCCCAGGCTTGGCTAGAACTTCTGATTCTCCTTCTGCTTCAACCTCCTGAGTAGCTTGTATTACAGGCATGAGCCACCATGCCTGGCTTTTTTTTTTTTTTTTTTTTTTGGTGAGTCAGGGTCTTGCTAGTTGTCCAGGTTCATTTTAAACTCTTGGACTGAAGTGATCCTCCTGCCTCATTTACCTGAATAGCTGGGACTGTGGGCACTTAACCAGTCTGTACCTAACTCCCCAATAATTTTTAATTGGATGTCAGACATTATAAATTTTGCCTTGTTGGGTGCTGGATTTTTTTTGTTCCAACAATTATTTCAGTTCCCTGGAAACAGTTAAAGTCTTTAAGGCTTGTTTGTAGGTTTGTTAGATGGGATCAGAATAGTCATTTGCTTAGACCCATTTTTTTTTGTTTGTTTTAGTTGTAGATGGACACAATATCTTTATTTTATTTATTTATTTTTATGTGATGCTGAGGAACGAACCCAGGGCCTCACACATGTGAGGCGAGCACTCCACCGCTGAGCCATAACCCCAGCCCCTGCTTAGGCCCATTTTATTCTCATTACTAAGATAGTAACTCTTCTACTTGATGAATTAAGAGCACTTGCCTAGCATGTGTGAGGCACTGAAATTCTCAGCACTGCATATAAATAAATTTTAACAAAAGGTCCATCAACAACTAAAAAAGTATTCAACAAACAAACCTGAGTCAGTGATTACCACTTTAGTTTTAATGGTTAGACAAGAGGGGTCTAGAGACCAGTTCTGTATACCCAAACTGGTCATTGTTTTCCCGTGCTGAAGTGACGTGATTTCTTATTTTATAACTGATAATCAGTTTAAAATCGATGATTTCCAATTTGACATTTTACTAGGAATAAATTAATGAGTGGTTGGAATCTATATCTTTAGTCTGCCAATTCATGACTGATAGAATTTCTTTTCTGAAATTTTTTTAGAATAGGAAAAGTATGAATATATCTTATCCACTAATAAGAGTCACCGACATCATTATTTTTCTTAACTGCCTATAAAGTTACTTCTTTGTAACATTTAGTTTTATTCTTTTGGATAATTTTTGTTTTGGTGGATATGTTTTGTCTAGAAATACTTGTCATTTTTCTCAGTTGGATGCATTAGGAAATGAGGAACTTGGATCATTCTGGTATTAGGTTTCAGTCTTTCAACACATTATTCTTATTTTTGAGAAGCAAGTGTTTGTGGATGGGACTTTAAGTTATCTTATTCTTTTATTTATTAAAAACACTTAAAATTATGTGTAGTTGATAAAGTGTTATCCACATTACATTAACCCTAACTTATAAAGACTGACACAATACAACATAAAACCTTGAGAGTGACATTGTTTTCAAATGATAATATTAATGCATGATTTTAAAATGAGATTTAGATTTCTTTTTTAAAATTGTTTTCTTAATTTATTTAAATTTTCTTTATTTTGATTCCTAGGTGCTGAAGATGAAACAAGAATAGATATGCAGTATCCTGCTCAGTACAAAGGCCAAGAGTTGTATTCACAACAAGATGAAGAGCAGCCACAGGGATGGGTATCCTGGGCTTGGTCATTTGTACCTGCAATTGTGAGTTATGATGATGGTGAGGAAGACTATACTGGGAATGATTCTACATTAACCATACACCAGCAGAAAGTACAGACTTTGAAGGATCCTATTGTTTCTGTAGGATTTTACTGCACAAAAGCAACTGTGACTTTCAAAGTAGGTGTATTTTCTTTTGCTGCTAATATCTCCTTTCAACTTTAATGCTTAAATTTTTATTGCTAGTAAGATTCTTGATTAACAAAATGTTGTTTTGTACTCAGTAGACATAATAAAACAATTTTTTTTTTTTACTGTTTTTCAATTGGTGTATTATAGTAACACGTAAAAGTAGAATTCATTTTGATATATATACATGTAGCATAATTTGGCCAATTACAATCCACAGTGCCTCCCTCCCCTTTCCCATCCCTCTAGCATATACCTTGATCCCCTTCCTCTATCTATCTCATTGTGATCCCTTCTATTTTCATGGGATACTCCTTTTTAATAATTTCTCATTTCTCTCCAGTTTCCACATATCTGAGAAAATATTTGACATGCTAAGTGAAATAAGCCAGATGCAGAAACCTTCTACGTCTGGCTTATTTCACGTAGCATGTTGTTCTCCATTTCTGTCATTGACTAGCAAATGTTATAATTTCATTCTTCTTTATGGCTGAGTAAAACTCCATTATGTGTATACACCAAATTTTCTTATCCATTTTTCTGTTAATAGGCAACAAGCCTGGTTCCTTAACTTTAGTATTGTGAATTATGCTGTATAAACATTGATTTGTATGTGTCGCTATCGTGTACTGACTTTCTTTCTTTTAAACAGATACCCAGGGTGGGAGAGTGAGAGATATGCTTGTTCCATTCTTGGTCTTTTGAGAAATCTCCATATTGTTTTCCAGAGTGGTTGTGCCAATTTGCAGTTCCACCAACAATGTGTGAGGGTACCTTTTTCCCCCACATCCTCATCAGCATGTATTATTATTTGTATTCTTGATGATTGTCATTCTAACTGGAGTGAGATGAAATCTCAATGTAGTTTGCAGCATACCTTCGTGGATATGTTGGAGTGGTGACCTGATGTTTTCTTCTAGTAGATATGCTGTTCCCAGTTTAATTCCTAGTTCTCTGATCCTTTCTGAGTTGACTTTTTTTTACAGGGTGAGAGCATATGTTTTTCTAGAATATGTTTTTGGCACCTTTGTCAAGGATCGGATGATTGTATGTATGTGGATTTGTCTGTGTCTTGTATTCCATTTGTCTTTGGGTCTGTTTTAAAGCCAAGACCATGCAGTTTTTGATAATATAGCTCTGTAGTAGTATAATTTGAGGTCCACTAGTACTGTGATGCCTGCAGCATTGCTTTTCTTGCTTAGGATTGCTTTGGTTATTCTGGGTCTCAATTGTTTTTTTTTTTATTTTTAAAATTTTTTGGTGGTAGATGGACTTTTCTTTTATAATTTATTTATATGTGGTGCTGAGCATTTAACCCAGTACCTCACACATGCTAAGCAAGCACTCTACCACTGAGCTACAACCCCAGCCCTTGGGTCTCTATTCTTCCAAGTGAAATTTAGGACTATTTTTTTCTAGTCCTGTGAAGAATGTCATTGGTATTTTAATGAAGATTGCTTTAATTCTGTAGAATGCTTTTGGTAATATGGCCATTTTTACAGTATTAATTCTATCTATCAAAAAATGTGGTAGATCTTTCCATCTTCTGAGATCTTTATTTAGTCTTTAAATTTCTTATTCTATAACTTTTATTATCATGATCTTTCACTTCATTGATTAGATTAATTACCAAGTATTTTATTCTGTTTGAGGCTTGATAAATGGAATTATTTTCCTTATTTCTTCTCAACTTATTAGTGGAGTATAAGAAAGTTATTCATTTCTGTATGTTGCTCTTGTATCCTGCTACTTTGATGAATTTGTTTTTCAGCTCTAAAAGTCTTTGATTTTTTGGGGGTTTTCTAAGTATAGGATTCATGTTACCAGCAAGTAGAGGTACTTTGCTGATTTAGTTTTCTATTTGTATCCCTTTAATTTTTTTTCTTGCCTGATTGCTTTGGTGAGAGTTTTTATGAACTATGTTGAATAGGAGTGATGAGGGTGGATATCCTTACCTTGTTCTTAATTTTAGAGGAAACACTTTGACTTTTTCTCCATTGTATATGATGTCATCTTTATGTTTATCATATATATCCTTTATGATATTAGATAAGTTCGTTCTATCCTTACTGTCCTCAGTGTTTTTAATATGAATGAGTGCATTATTTTGTTGGAAGAATTTTCTGCCTGTTTTGAAATGATCATGTGATGTTTATCCTTAACTCTCTATGTAGTGAATTTTCTTTGTTGGAAGACTTAAAATTAGTCTTGTTGCTTGATATTTGTTTGTTTAGATTTCCATATCATCTTAGTTCAGTTTTGGTAGGTCATATGTGTCTCGAAATTTTGTCAACATTATCTAGATTTTCCATTTTATTATAAGTTTTGAAAAATAGTTGCTAATGATCCTGGATTTCAGAAATATCTGTGGTGATGTCTTATTTTGCACCTCTAATGTTGATTTTTTTTTTCCTTTGATTGGTTTGGCTAAGGGATTTAACAATCTTGTTTATCTTTTCAGAGAAGCAACTCTGTTGTATTGATCATTTGTATCTTTTTTATTATCAATTTTGACTTTGACAATTGTTCTGTCTTCTACTGATTTAGGAATTAGTTCTTGCTTTTCTAGCATGATGAGATTTAACATTAGAATATTTATTTGCTATCTTTAAGTTTTATGTAGACACTCAATACTATAAACTTTCTTCTTAGAACTGCTTTTATACAATCCTAGAGATTTTAATATATTGTTTCTCTTTTCTCACTTGTTTGAGAACATTTTCTCCCTCTATTTTTTTGTGACCCATTCCTTGATCAAAAACATATTATGCAATCTCCACATGTTAAATTGATTTGTTTTTTTGTTATTAATTTTTCATTTCATTCTATTATAGTCTAATAAGATGCAAGAAATTAACTTGTTATTTTATATGTATTTCATAAGAGTTTTTGTGTGTCCTGAAACATGATCTGTTTTTGAGAATGTTTCATGTTCAACTGAGAAGTGATTTCAGTTGTTGCTATAGATGTCTGTTTGATCCATTTGATTAGTAGTATTTTTTTTTTTTTTTAATTTCTGAAGAATCTTTACTTAGTTTGTCTGCATGATCTATCTTTTGGTGAGAGTGGTCAATTGAGATTACACACCATTTTTGTATTAGGGGTCTCTGTGAGCCTTTTGTCAAGTGGAGCTTATTTTATGTAATTATTAGCATTGATATTTGGGACATAAATATTTAAAATCTTTATATCTTGTTGGATAGTTCCCTTAACCAGTATAAACTGATCGTTTTTGTCTCTCTTGATTAATTTTGGCTTGAAGTCTATGTTGTCAGGTATGAGAGTAGCTACTCCTGCTTGCTTTCAGTCTCTGTTTGCATGAAATATCTTTTTCTAATTTGTTTACCTTTAGCCTGTGAATGTCTTTGCCTGTAGATAAGTCTCTTATAAACAACATATGTTTGGGTCATGTTTTTAAATCTACTGTGCCAGTTCATTTCTTTTACTTGGAGAGTTGAGACCATTTACATTCAGTGTTATAGAGAGATGGTTTTTATTTAATTTCTTCTGCATGTAATATTTCACTAAGTATTTTCTGTTGAGCTGGCTTAGAAGTTATGAATTTGTTTAGTTTCTGCTTATCTAGGGAGGTTTATATTTCATCTTTAATTCTAAAGGATAATTTTGCTGAATATAGCAACCTTGGTGGCAACCATTATCAGTCAATCATTGGTATATATTTTCTAGGGCCTCCTGGATTTTAGAGTCTGAACTGAGAGGTTAGCAGAAAGTCTAATTGAATCATCTCTGAATATTACCCATGTTGTTTCTCCTGTGGCTTTTAGAATTCTATCCTTCTGTATCTGTATATAGGCGTTTTAATTACATTTTGTCTTAAGGTATTTTTTGATCTTGTCTATTTGGATTTCTAAATACTCTTTGATTTGGATTTTCATATCATCCACAAAGTTTAGAAAATTTTCTGATAGTATGTCACCGAAAAGTTTCTGTATTCCTTTACTTTATATTTTGTTGCCTTTTTCTAAGCCAGTGATTGTAGATTATCTTAGTTGTTTTCAATATTCTGATCATGGTCTGTTAACATATTTTCTTTCTTGATGACTATTTTCAAGATTATATGCCTTGTCTTTGAGGCCTGAAAATGGGTCTTCTGTGTGGTCTAATCTGTGGATGGTGCTTTCAAGTGAAGTTTTAATTTGATTGAGTCTTTCATTTCTAGGATTTATGTTTGGTTGTTTTTCAGAGTCTCTCTTTTTATTGAAATGTTCTTTCATTTCCTGAATTTTCTCGTTTGTTTTTTAAATATTCTTTTAGTTTATTGATCATTTTAAGTATCAACTTTCTAAACTCCTCATTTGAAATTTCCTCCATCATAGTGTCAGTGGGGTTAGTTGTTGAATTCTTGTGAGCTACTTGGGGTGATTTATTTCTTTGCACTTTGATATCATTAGTATTTCTACCCATCTGTTGGGATGATTATTCTACTTTTATAGAAGAAACTTTTTGGTGAGTGCTTTCTCTTTACTAAGTGTCCTAGTCTGAGTGAATCTAAGTGTCAGTATTCCTACTCAGTGTGCTCCTGCTGCTGAATTCAGTATCATGCTCCACTGTGAGAGACAGATGGTAATCTCTATTATCTGCAATTACTTCAGAATGAAGCCTTATACTAATTAGCTTTAAAAAGAAGTTTTTTTTTTAAGAGAGAGAGAGAGAGAATTTTTTTTAATATTTATTTTTTTAGTTTTCTATTGGTGGTAAGAGTTACAAAGAAAAACCAGGGAAGAAGAATAGAAAAGAAAGAGGATTATGTAACTTAAAATTGAATGATCAGGAAAGGTTTTTATTGTGAAAGGGATATTGAAGCAAGGATTTATAATGATCATGAATTTGTAGAGGCACCAGTCATTGTGGTTGTGCTTTTCTCTGGTCATATTCCACTTCTTGAGTAAAGGTGAATGAATGATGAAGGTAAGGTAGAGGACAAGATCTTTGTAGGAGTGGAGGTAAAGAAACTGAGAGATCAGACTTTAAGATGACCCTCTCCGTGAATATTGAAATCACCAGGAATCATGACAATGATAAAGTAATGTGAGAGAGAATCCAAACCAAAATCTTCATAGAATAAATAGAATGACTTGGAAATTGCTTTGACTGCAACAAGGAAGGGTGGAGAGTCATACCACTTGTTTAATATTTTTGCTGTATGTTTTAAAATGCTGCTGTTAGTAACACTGTGTTACATATGTTTTAGCAGGTGTATATATATGTTAAGAATTTCTCCAGGTAGAGTCTTTCTGTTTGAATGAACCAGTCTTCCTTCTTTCCAACAAGCCTACCTGACTTTCTTCCTTCCAATTGAATCCAGGGGCACTTAAACCACTGAGCCACATCCTCCTACCTTTTTATTTTATTTTATTTTGGGGGACAGGGTCTCACTGCATTGCTTAGGGCCTCACTAAGTTGCCAAGGCTGGCCTTGAATTTGTGATCCTCCTGCCTTAGCCTCTTAAGTTCCTGGGATTATAGGCCTATGATGCTTTGTCTGGCTCCTCTTTAATTCCGCCCCCCCCTTTCTTTGTTT